GGGTTTATTTATGGGCTCTCTATTCTGATCCATTGGTCTATATGTCTATTTTTATGCCAGTACCATACTTTTTAATTTATTATAGCTTTGTAGTATGGTTTGAAATTAGAAGTGTAATTTCTCAGGATGGCCTCAGCTATTAAGGGTCTTTTGTGGTTCCACATGAATTTTAGAATTGTTTTTTCTATTTCTGTGAAAAAAGACATTAGAAATTTGATAGGGATTGCATTGAATGTACAGATGGCTTTTGGTAGTATGGCATTTTAACAATATTAATTCTTCTGATCCGTGAACATGGAATATCTCTCCATTTGTTTGTGTCTTAAATTTTTTCATCTAAGTCTTGTAGTTTTATGAATGCAGATCTTTCACTTCTTTGGTTGAATCTATTCCTAAGTATTTTCTTGTTTTTTATGCTATTGTGAATAGTTTTATTTTCTTTATTTCTTTTTCATGTGTTTTATTATTAGTATGAAGAAGCACAACTGATTTCTGTACGTCGATTTTGTATCCTGAAACTTTGCTAAATATGTTGGCTAGTTTTAACAGTTTTTGGTGGAGTCTTTAGGATTTTCTCTATGTAAGATCATATCGTATTCAAACAAAGACAGTTTTTTCTTTCTTTCTGATGTTGATGACTTTTATGTCTTTTTATTGCCTTTTTGCTCTGGCTAGGACTTCCAGTACTATGTGAATAAGAGTGACATCTGCAGACAACCTTGTCTTTTTTCTGATCTCAGAGCAAAAGCTTTCAACCTTTCACCATTGTGTATTATGTTAGCTATGGGTTTGTCATATATGGACTTTATTATGTTGAGGTATGCCCTTCTATACCCAATTTATTGAGAGTTTTATAATGAAATTATGTTGTATCTTATCAAATGCGTTTTTGCATTTATTGAGATGACCATATGATTTTTCTCTTTCATTCTATTCTGGTGTGTTTCATTTCATTCTGGTGTATACATTTATTGGTTTGTGTATGTTGAACCATGAACCATGTTTGCATCCCAGGGATAAATCCCAGAGATTTATTCCAGGGATAGATTATGGTGTATGATCTTTTTAATATATAGTTGATTTGGTTTGCTAATATTTTGTTGAGAACTTTTACATCTATATTCATCAGGGATATTTGTCTATAATTGTCTTTTTTTGTAGTGTCCTCATCTGGCTTTGGTATCAGGGTAATTCTGGCCTTGTAAACTAAGTTTGTGAGTGTTCCCTCCTCTTCAATTTTGTGGAATAGTTTGAGAAAGATTAGTGTTAATTCTTCTTTAAATGTTTGGTAGAATTCATTGGTGAAACAATCTATCTTGGCTCCTTCCGTTAGGAGGTTTTTGACTACTGATTCATCTTGTGCTTGTTGTTGGTCTGTTCAGATTTCCTGTTTTTTAATGATTCAGTCTTGGTAGGTTGTATGTTTCTAGGAATTTACTCATTTCTTCTAGGTCGTACAATTTGTTGGCATATAATTATTCATGGAAGTCTCTTAAGATGTACTTATGGGGTATCAATTGTAATGTCTCTTCTTTCATTTATGATTTTATTAAAATTTTAAGAGTCTTCTCTCTTTTTGTCTTAGTTTATCTAGCTAAACTTTTGTAAATCTTATCGGTTCTAAAAACCAGTTCTTAGTTTCATTGATCTTTTCTATTGTTTTTCTCCTCTCTATTTAATTTATTTCTGTTCTGATCCTGGATGTTTCCTTCCTTCTGCTTATTTTGAGATTAGTTAGTTCTTCTTTTTCTAGTTCCTTGAGGTGTAAAGTTAGGTTGTTTATTTGTCATTTTTAAAAAATTATTAAGGTAGGCATTGATTGCTGTAAACTTCCCTTCTAGGACTGCTTTTGCTGCATCTCATATGTATGGTATGTTGTATTTTCATTTTCATTTGATTGAAGATATTTTTGATTTCCCTTTTGGTTTTTCCTTTGATTCATTGGTTGTTCATGAGTGCATTGTTTAATTTTCACACATTTGTGAATTTTCCAGCTTTCTTCTTGTCATTGATCTCTAGTTTCATACCATTGTGATCAGAAAAGATATTTGGCATGAATTCAGTCTTCTTAAATATGTTAAGACTTGTCTTGTTACCTAATATATGATCTATCCTGGAGAATGTTTTGTGTGACTTGAGAAGGATGTGTATTTTGATGCTGTGGCGGGGGGATAGTCTGTATATATCTGTTAGGTCCATTTGGCTTAAGGTATAATTTTATTTCAGTGTTTTCTTACTCATTTTCTTTCTAGATGATATACACACTGTTGAAAATGGATATTTAAGTCTCCTGTTATTCGTGTATGTTGTCTGTTTCTCCCTTGATGTCTGTTAGTATTTGTTTAACATAATTTGTGCTTTGATGCATATATATTTACAATTGTTATATCCTCTTGATGAATTGACCCCATTATTATATAAAGACGTTTGTCTCTTGTTGCAGTTTTTGACTTAAAGTCTATTTTGTCAGATATAGGTATAGCTACCCCTTTTCTATTTTGGTTTCTATTCACATGGAAAGTCTTTTTCCATCCCTTCACTTTCAGCTTGTGTATGGCCTTGAAGCTGAAGTGGTTGTCTTTTAGGCAGAATACAGTTGGGTCTTGTTTTTAATCCATTTAGCCGCTCTATACCTTTTGATTTGAGAATTCAATCCATTTACATTTAAAGTGATTATTGATATGTGAAGACTTACTAATGCCACTTTATTAACTGTTTCCTGGCTGTTTTGTAGTTCCCTTGTTCCTTTCTTCCTTTTTTCCTACACCTCTTTGTGAATTGATGGTTTCTCATAGTGATAGCCTTTGCTTCCCTTCTTTTTATATTTTGTGTATTTACTATAGGTTTTTTCTTTGTGGTTCCATAAGCTTACCTAAAACATCTGATAGTTATAACAATGTATTTTAAGCTGATAAGAACTTAACTTTGATTGCATATAAAAACTCTACCCTTTACTCCCCAACCATATTTTATGTTTTTGATGTCACAATTTACCTCTTTTTGTTTTGTGTATATATTAAAATATTATTTTAGCTATAGTTATTTTTAATACTTTTGTTCTTTAAACCTTTATACTAAAGTGATAAGCATACCTCCAAATTACAGTATTAGATTATTCTGAATTTGACTATAATCTTCCCTTTACCAGTATTTTTCATATATTTTCATGTTATTAATTAGCATTTTTTCATTTCTGCTTGAAGAACTCCTTTCAGCATTTCTTATAAGGCAAGCCTAGTGGTGATGAGCTGTCTGAGCTTTTGTATGTTTGGAAAAGTCTTTACATGTCCTTACTTCTGAAGGACAGCTTTGCTCAGTGGCATTTTTTTTTCTTTCAGCACTTTGAATATATCATCTCACACTTTCCTGTCCTGCAAGCTTTCTGCTGAGAATTCCACTGATAGTCTTATGATGGTTCCCTTATATATGAGTAATTTTTTTCTCTTGCTGCTTTTAAAATTCTCTCTTTGTCTTTGATTTTAGGCAGCTTTATTTTAATGTGTCTTTGAGAAGGTCATTCTGAGTTGAAATTTCCAGATGACTTAATAGTTTCATGAATTTGGACGTCCAAATCTATCCCCAGATTTGGGACATTCATAGCCATTATTTCTTTACATAAGCTTTCTGTCTCTTTCATTCTCTCTTCTCCTTCCAATAATGCGTAGTTTGCTCCTTTTAGTGGTATCCTACAATTCATTTAGACTTTCCTTATTCTTTTTTTATTCATCTTTTCTTTTTGTAACTCTGACTGGATGATTTCTAATTACCTGTTTTCAAGTTTATTAACTCTTTTTTTCTGCCTGTTTGAGTTGCTGTTGAAGCTCTCTATAACTTCTATAATTCAGTCATTGCATTCTCCAACTCTAGGACTTCTGTTTTTTTCCCTAATGGTTCCTATTTCTTTGTTGAACTTCTCATTTTGTTCATGCATTGTTTCCCTAATTTCATTTAGTTGTTAACTGTGTTTTCTTTTAGTTCACTTAATTTCTTGAGGAGAATTATTCCAAATTCTTTGTTAGTTCATAGATCTCCATTTCTTCAGGGTCAGTCATTGGAGTTTTATTAGTTTCCTTTGGTGGTGTTTTGTTTCCTTGATTATTCATGATCCTTGTGGCCTTGTGTTGGTGTCTGTGCATTTGAAGAAGTAGGCATCTCTTGCATTCATAACAGATTGGCTTCAGCAGGCAAAGTCCTTCACCAATCAGGCTGTAGAGATTCTGGGTGGGCAGTCTGGTGGTGTCTGCTGACTGGCTTGCTGCTGGAATCCTTGAGTGGGCAGGTCTGGTGCCTGGGTCAGCAAGTGAGTAGATCTTGTGCTTGAATACCTGGGGACCAGCCTGGGCCTGGTTCCATGGAGGTAGGCCTGGAGCCTCAATTCAAAGAGCAGGCCTGGTTCTTGAGTCTTTGGTGATGAGCCTGGGACCTGAGTCTGCATGGGCAGATTTGGATCCTGGGTTCACTGGGACCAACCTGGCACTGGGAGCATTTGGGTGAGCCTAATGCGGGTCCATGTGGGCCAGTTTGTTATGGGACAGACTGGAAGCCTGGTTTCACAGGTGTCAGCTCAGAGGCATTAGTCATGGGGCCATCTGGGTGCTAGGGTGAGCCTGGAGCCTGGGGCTGCAGGAGTTGGCTTTGTACCCTGAGACCTCAATGGCCAGGTTGAGTGTGCAGGAGCAGATCTGGCACTGAGGCAGGGTTGTAGCCTGGGTCTGTAGGAGCCTGCCTCTAGGCTCTGGCCTTGGAGGTTGGCCTGGTGCTTGGGTAGGTTGAAAGTCTGGATCCACTGTAGTTGGCCTGGTGTTGGGCCTGCCCAGGAGCCTTGACTTGTGGGAGTTGATGGGAGTCTGATCCACAGGAACTGCTGTGGGCTTCAGGAGCTGGCAGACACTGGGATATATTGGGAGCATGGGTTTTTGGAGCCTCTGGGAGCCTGATGTCATGGAAGCCTCTTGAGGTTGTGGGAACTGCCTGGGGCCACTGGAGCTGGCAGGTGCCCTATGGAGTCAGGTCCTGGGTTCATGGGAACCTGCTGGGAGCCTGGTGCTGTGGATACTGTCTGGGACTGCAGGAGCTTGCAGGTAAGAATGTGCTGAGGCCTTTGGTTCATGAGAGCCTTCAGGGAACCACCTCAAGCTGAGAGGATTGGCCTGGTACTGGGGCAGGCTGTCTCTGGGGTTCATGGTGAAGTAAGGTGCTCACTTCACTTTCCTTCTCCCATGAAGAGGATGTCACTCCACTGGGCTTCCCAGGCTTTGGAGAAGAGTGATGTTGGTAATGTAAATCTATATTTTCTACCCTCACCTGGAATTCTTGGCTCTCATGAAGGTGCTTTGTGTGCAGATAGTTGCTCAAATTTATGTTTCTCAGGGGGAAATGAGTGAAAGAAATTCTTATGCCGGCATCATGATTTTGCTGACATCACTCCCACTTGACAAAGACTTAAGATCAATAGACTTAAATATGCTCAAAGAGCTAAAGAAAACCATGTACAAAGAACTAAAGAAAACTGGAAAACATACATAAACAAAATTAGAATATCAATAAAGAGATGGAGATTATAAAATGGGACCAAATATAAATTCTGGAAAAGTATGATAATCAAAGTAAAAATTTCCTAAAGAGTTTCAGTAGCACATTTGACCAGGCACAAGAAAAAATCAGCAAACTTTATAATAGGAGAATTGAAATGATCTAATCTAAGATGCATAAAGAATAAAGAATAAAAAAAAAGTGAACAGAGTCCAAGGGGTACCTATGGATAACCATCAAGAGAGCTAATATACACATTATGGGAATGTCAGAAGAAGAAAATATGGAAAGGAACAGAAAGAACATTTGAATAAATAATGGCCAAATACTTTAAAGATTTTATAAAAGGTGTGAATCTACACATTTAAGAAACTCAATGAACTATACGTATGATAAACTCAAGGAGATCCACACTTAAACACATGATAGTCAAACTGCTGAAAGCCAAAGACAAAGATACTCTTGAAATCAACATGAAAGGAGTGACTCACCACGCATAAGGGATCCTCAGTGAGATTAACAGCTAGTGTCTCATCAGAAATCATGAAGGCCATGAGCCAATTGGATGACATAAAGTGCTTAAAGAAAAAACTGTCAACCAAGAATTCTATATCTGGCAAAACTATCCTTCAAAAATGTATGAGAAAAAGAAGACATTCCCAGATAAACAAATATGAAGGAATTTATTACCAGTAGCCTTGTCCTATAAGAAACACTAAAGAGAATCCTTCAGTTTGAAATGAAAGGAGTCTCAACAGTAATCTGAAGCCTATGAAGAAAAAGAGATCTCCTAAAGGTAACTAGATAGGTAAATATAAAAGCCAGTATTATTTTATTTTTGCTTTGTAGCTCTCCTATTCATTTTCTACTTGAGTTAAAAGACAAATACACAAAATAATTATAAATTTATGTTAACGGGCACACAGTGTATGAAGATTTAATTTGTGAAAACAACAACATTAAGAGGGAGATGGAGCTGCATAGGAGCAGAGTTTTTGCATGCTATTTGAGCTAAGGTAGTATCAATTCAAACTAGATTCTTATAAATTTATAATCCTAATTCTAATCTCCATAGTAACCATGAAAGAAATGTATAAAAATATACACAAAAGGAAATGAGAAAGGTATAAAAACAGTATGCCACAAACAGTACAAAACAAACAAACAACTAAACACAAAAGAGGCAGTAACGGAGTAAATGAGGCAGAAAAAGATATAGACTGTTATGGGCTGAATTGTGTCCCCCAAAATTTGCATATTGAAGCCCTCACCCCTAGAATCTCACAATGTGACTGTGTTTGGAGATAGAGACTTTAAAGAGATAATTAAATTAAAATGGAGTTGTTAGGGTGGGCCTTAATCCAATATGACTGGTGTACTTAGAAGAAGAGGAGATTAAGACACAGAGAGAAACACCAGACATGTGTGTACACAGAGAAAAGACCCTGTGCAGTGAGAAAATGTCCATCTGCAAACTGAGGAGAGAGGCCTTAGATGAAATAAGACCTGACGATACCTTGATCTTAAACTTCCAGCTTTTAGAACTGTTAAAAAACAAATTTATGCTGTTTAAACCATCCAGTCTAAGGTATTTTGTTATGGTAGCCCTAGAAATCTGATACAAGGCATACAGAAAACGAATAGCAAATGGCAGAGTAAGTCCTTCCTTATCAGTGATTACTTTAAATATAAATTGATTAAGCTTTCCAACCCACAGGTGGAGATTGGCAGAATGGATAAAGTAAACACCATCCTACCCTATGCTGTCTGCAAGAGACTCACTTTTGATCCAACACACAAATATGTTGAAAGAGAAGGATGGGAAAGTTATTCCTTGCAAACAGTAACCAAAAGAGAGCTGGGAGGGCTATATTAGTATCAGACAAAATGGACTTTAAGTCAAAAATTGTTACAAGACACAAAGGACATAGTACACTTATAAAAGAGTGAATCCACTAACAAGATAACAATTAGTAGCACAGAGTTCAACAAACAGAGCCCCCAAATATGTGAAGCAACACTGACAGAATTGAAAGGATAAATAGACAGTTCTTTGATAATAGTTGGAGATTTCAATATCCCCTTTTCCATAATGGATTGAGTCTTTTAGACATAAGGTCAATAAAGAAACAGAAGATTTAAACTACACTATACCAACTAGACCCAACAGACATATATAGAACACTACAACCAACAACAGCAGAATACACTTTATTCTCAAGTACATATTCTCCAGGATAGACCATATGTTAGGCTGCGAACAAGTCTCACACATTTTAAAAGATTAAAATCATACAAAATTTCCACTCTGGCCACATTGGAATTAAGATAGAAATAATAAAAAAAAAAAGAAAATTGGAGGGAAAGAAAAAGAAAACTGGAAAATTCAGAAATATATGGAAATTAAACAACACACTCGCAAACAACCAACATGTCAAAAAAGAAATTGTGAGGCAAATTATAAAACACTGATAAATAAATGAAAATGAAAATACAACACACCAAAACTTATGGAATGTGGAGAAGGAAGTGCTCAGAGGGAAATTTATAGCAGTAAGCACATACATTAAAAAAAGTAAAAAGATCTCAAATCAATAACTTTCTACTTAAGGAACTAGAAAAAGAAGTGCAAACTAAACCCAAAGAAAATAGAAGGAAAAAAATCCAGCCATATGTTGCTTAATGATGGGGATATGTTCTGAGAAATATGTCGTTAGGTGATTTTGTCATTGTACAAACATCATAGAGCGTACTTACATGAAAATAGATGGTATAGCCTACTAAACACCTAGGCTATATGATACTAATCTTAAGGAACCACCATCTATATGCAGTCTATCATTGAATAATGACTGTAATAAAGATAACAGGTGAGATAAACAACATAAAAAATAGAAACACAATAGAGACAATCAACAAAACCAAAAGGTGGTTCCTTGTTAAGACCAGTGAAATGACATACCTTTAGCTAGACTGATAGGGAAAAAAGAGAGAAGATGCAAAGAACTAAAATTAGAAATGATAGTGAAAACATTACTACCACATTATAGAAATAAAAAAGAGTATAACACTATAAACAATTGTATTCCAACAAATTGGATAACCTAGATGAAATGAACAAATTCATAGAAACACAGAGTTACCAAAACTAAAGAAGAAATAAAAAATCTTAACAGACATGTAATAAGTAAAGAGATTGAACTTGTAATAAAAAATCTTTCAAGAAAGATAAGTCCAGGAACAGATGATTTTATTGTTGAATTCTATTAAACTTTTAAAGAAGAATTAACATTAATCTTTCTCAAACTCTTCCAAAAATTGGAAGAGAAGGAAACACTTTATAACTCATTCCGAGAGGTCACCAGTACCTTGATATCAAAGCAAGACAAAGACATCACAAGAAAATTGCAGATCAATATGCATTATGAATATAGATGCAAAAATCCTCAAGAAAATACTAGCAAACTGAATCCAACAGCATATTGAAAGGTTTGTACTCCAAAAACAAGTGGGATTTAACCCAGGAATGCAAGTGTGGTTCAATCTAAAAACAATCAATCAGTGTAACACACCTTATTAATACAACAAAGGGAAAAAGACTCTGATCATCTCAATTGTTGAGGCAAAGCAATTGAGAACATACAACGTCCTTTCATGTTAAGAAACACTGATAAAACTAGGAATAGAAGGGAGATTCCTCAACATGACAAAGAGCATTTATGAAAGAGCTGCAGCTAACATCATACTCAATGTTGAAAGACTGAAAGCTTTACTTCTAAGATGAGGAACGAGGCAGTGATGTCTACTTTCATTTTAACATTGTACTGTAAGTTCTAGTTGGAGAAACTAGGCAAGAAAAAGAAGTAAAAGTCACCTAAATTGGAAAGGCAAAGAAAAATGATCTCTATTTACAAATGGCATGATTTTATATATAGAAAATCCCGAAGAATGCACAAAAAATTACTAGACCTAATAAAAAAATTCAGCAAAGTTGCAGGGTACAAGAGCAAACAGAAAAATCAGTTGTGTTTCTATAAAACATCAATGAACAGTCTGAAAAGGAAATTGAGAAAACAAAAGAATAAAATACTTAGGAATAAACTTAAGGAAGCTAAAGACTTAAACACTGAAAATTACAAAACATGGCTGAAAGAAATTAAAGAAGATCTAAATAAATGGAAGTACATTCCATTTTTATGGATTGGAAGACAATATTGTTAAGAGGTCAATACTACCCAATCAATCTACACATTCAATGCAATTGCTGTCAAAATTCCAATGGCCCCTCTTTGGCAGAAATGGAAAATCTGACTCTCAAATTCGTTTGGACTTGCAAGGGGTCCTGAATAACCAAAATGATCTTGAAAAAGAATAACACAGTTGGAGGACTCATAGTTCCCAATGTCAAAACTTACTACAAAGCTACAGTAATCAAAACAGTGTCATACTGGTATAAGGATAGATATATACACTCATGGAATAGAGTTGAGAATCCAGAAATAAGCCCATGCATGTATCGCCAATTCACCTTTGACACTGGTACCAAGAC